GCACGTCTGTCCCGGAGAAAGCCCCCTCTCCAGTTCTTGCTCCAAAGCCAAACAGCTCAGTTCTTCCCTGTATGTCTCTGGCGCCCTTAGAGCTGCCTCCCCTCCAAGCTTAGAGGGAGAGAGTCCGATAAGTCCGTGCGCGGGCCCTTTAAGGAGCTGCCTGGGGCTCCAGCCGCCTCAGCCTCCCTGAGCCTCAGTTCCCACTGGTTTTTCCAGCCAGAAGGGATGGGGATTCTCTTCCTGGCACTGGAACCCTGAGTGGGGCGCCTGGTGTGGGAGGGGGACCCCTCAGTCCTCAGGAAGGACCTTCCCAGCCGAGGTGTCCTCCTGATTTTTATCCACCACACGTGGGTGTGGGACCAGCCCATTGCCTCCACCCCTCCTACCAGTCTCGATGTAGCTCCTTCTTTAATTATGTAGTTGTAGGACTTCCATTCAGCTCGATTTCAGGCAGTTTTGAATGATGGTTGTTCAGTAGTTTAGTTGTAACTTTGATGTGTTTGTGGGAGGATGTGATACCGCGTTTACCTACACCGCCATCTTGACCGGAAGTTCCAAGTTCTTGCCCATGATATTCACGCCCTCTCATTCTCACCCTCATCTGCAATCTAAACTCAGCCCACACTTTTCTCTGCTGAGCAAACTTGCCTCCCCTGGACCCTCCCTGGCCTGGTCTGCAGTGGAGCTGGAGCTGGGTGTGAGGATGCTTCCAAGGTGTGTGAGATGTCCCACCAACAAGCTTGAAATAGCAGCTTCTCCCAAAATCACAGTCTTAAATCATTAGGTGGAATTGACACCATTTTTCACTCTCAGAATCTTGTACATCTTCTGGCAAAATCGTGGGGGACAATCTGATTTAGAGGACAAATAGTGATCTCAGCTGTGTCCCTCACACGAAGCTCCAGGCAGACTCCATCAGGGAGGTGCTGCTTGATCTTCAACAAGTGGGGTATATTGGCCAATGAAGGGCAATCCAGAAGAAAGGACAGTGCCGAAGGTATGGGGCACTCCCACTGGAAACAGGATGAGGTGGTTAAATTTAAATGCCAGATAAACAATGTAAATTTTTTAGTGTAAGCATGTCCCATGCAGCCAGGTCTCTTATAAAGGTTGAGACACCCAGCAGCCAAAACCCAGTAATGGTCATTATGCCACTGCATGAACAATGGGAAGTCACCAAAGGGTGTTTTTAAAAAAATCTGTGACAAAGCCCTGGCTGGTTTGTCTCAATTGTTCGAGCGTCGGCCCATGGACCAGTCTCGAGTTTGATTCCAGTCAAGGGCACATACCTCTGTTGTGGTTTGGTCCCCAGCCCTGGTTGGGATTGTGCAGGAGGGAGGCAGCCAATGGATAATGGATGTTTCTTTCTCTCCCCTCCCCCCCACTCCTCCCTCCCACTCATCTGAAGATAGGTGGAAAAATATCCTTGGGTGAGGATTGAAAAAAAAAATTTGTGACAAAATACACAACATAAACTTTTATCAATTTAGTCCAGCTGGTGTGGCTCAGTGGTTGAGCACTGACCCATGCACCAAGAGGTCGCCAGTTTGGTTCCCAGTCAGGACACATGCCCAGGTTGTGGCCTGATCCCCAGTGGGGGGCATGCAGAAGCGGCCAATCGATGTTCTCTCTCATCAATGTTTCTATATCTCTCTCCCTCTCCCTTCCTCTCTAAAATCAATAAAGGGAAAAAAAAATTGGAATTTTTTTTTTTATCATTTTAACCATCTTAAGTGTACAGTTCAGTGGCTTTAAGCACATTCACACTGCCATGCAACCATCACCACCATCCACCTCCAGAACTTTATCATCTCCCTAAACTGAAGCCCTGTACTCATTATTAAACTCTCCATTCTCCCTCCTCTATCCCCTGGCAGCCACCATCATTCTGCATTGTCTAGGAGTTTGACTGTTTTTGGTACCTCATATTAGTAGAACCATATTTGTCCTTTTGAATCTAGCTCATTACACTTAGCATCATGTTTTTAAGGTTCAACCATATTGAAGCATGTATCAGAATCTCATTCCTTTTGAAATGAATAGGGCTGAATAGTATTCCATTGTATCTATACACTGCACTGTGTTTATTCATTCATCCATTGCTGGATATTTATGTTTCCACCTTTTGACTATTGTGAACCATGCTATAAAATGGGTGTGCAAATATTTCTTCGAGATCCTGCTTTCAATTCTTTTGGGTATTACACCTAGATGTAGAATTGTACCAGGTTTTTTTGATCCAAGATGATAAAACTGAAAAAAAAAACAAAAAAGATATCTTTATTGCAGTAAGTTAATCCAGTAGGTATGTCTGAGAAAGCACAAATCAGTTGGTTTGGGCAGTAAGAGCCTCTACCACGTTGCCCATGTGTTCCCTCAAGCTTCGCTCTGCGGCTTTTCGTGAGATAGCCATCTCTGTCTTTACCAACTCCCGATCTTCCTTCTTGGCAGTTTTTGCCAGTTCTTTCTCCCACTCTTGTTTGGCTTTCTGCTCCCAGGAATGTCTGTCTCCAATCACAGACATGGCCGTCTCCAGACTGGAACTTTGGATCTCTTCTTCTGCATAGTCAGTGACTCTCTCCAGGTCCGCTGCACCACTGTCATGCTTTCATGGCTTCCCAGGAGGTTGCTCAGGACTGCTGGTCTGGGTCTCCAACTCCAGCTCCACATCCTCCTCGGTTGCCATATCTATCGATCCTACCGCACCACCTCACAGCTCAAAGGGCTTTAAGCAGGGGGAAAACAGCACCATATTTTCTCTTAGAAACTCATTCAGGCCACAGTGTTTATAGTTTGGAGAAGAAAGCCACTAGGAGGCCAGGGCAGCAATTTTCAAACTGGTGTCCCACAAAAATTTTTAAAACATGCAATACCTGACTGTTTAATCAGGGCACTGATGTCTTTTCCCTTAGATTGTCAATAAAAAATGACAATGAATACAATAGGCATCCATGTGAATGAATCAAAACTATACTTTTTTTTTTGTCAGATCAGCAAACAATGTATTTTAGTAATTAGTTTAAGTGTGCTATAAGATGAAAAAGATTGAAAATCGCTAGGCCAGGGCAATTGTCCAGGAGCCATGGGGATGAAGGGATGTTGAGGTTGGGGCTGAGGGGATGGGGTGGAAAGGGGGGGAGCTGCAGATGACCACCAGGGTCCTGGCTTGTGTAACTGAGTCAGCCTGAGGTGATGCTAATGGTGTAAGGAGCACAGGAAGAGGTGAGCTGATGGGTAAGCTGAGTTTGAGATGACTTCTGAGTTGAGATACAGTTCTAGAACACAGTTCTACATTCTGGTCTGAAGTTCAGAACAGAGGTAAGGGTTGGAGAAAAGACTGGCAAATCTTGAGCAACGAGGTGGCCTGGAGAGCTTGAGGTCATCCAGGGAGAGCAAGCACATTGAAGAGGGTCCAGAACTAAATGAACCTAGTGTCCTAACATTTTAGCAAAAGCAAAGAAAGGAGCCAGCGGTGCCATGGCCCCAAGATGGGTGCAGAAGGGTGCTCTTGGCCCAGGCTGCAGAGACCCGAGTCTGTAGCATTGTGGATTGGGGGGGGGGGGGGTGTCACTGGTTCCTTCTGGCTGAGCAGTAAATAGAGGGTACCTGGAATAAATGGGACAGAAGCAGAAAGCAATTTCCAAACATTTCTCCAAGGAGCTTAACCTTGAAAGGAGTAATGGTAGTAGCAAAAAGAGGCTGGTCAAGACTTTTTTGGGTTAGGGTGGTTGTTTTTAACAATAAAATGAACATAAGCCTGTTTAGGACTTGTAGGAGAAAGAGGCACAAGGTCTCAGAGAGAATTGGATCAAAAGCCAAAGTGGAAAGCTTGGCATTGAAGAGGAGCCTGCTTTCCTCTGGGTGAGGGAAAGAGGTAGTAGGAAGGTTGGAGAGTCTGTGGGAACTTAAGAATTTAAAGGCCTTGATTTGCCCGACCAGTATGGCTCAGTGGTTGAGCATCGACCCATGCACCAAGAGGTTGCCAGTTCAATTCCTGGTCAGAGCACATGCCCAGGTTCTGGGCCAAATCCCCAGTGGGTGGTATGCAGGAGGCAGCCAACTGATGTTCTCTCTTGTCGATGTTCCTATCTCTCTAAAATCAATAAAAAAGAAAATAAATAAAGGCCTTGATTTGCTCGGTCTAGGAAGTAAGAATAAGTGCAAAGAGCTCTGAAGGGAGCCCTGGCCGGTTTGGCTCAGTGGTTAGAGCGTCGGCCTGCGGTCCTGAGAGACCCGGGTTCGGTTCCCGCTAAGGGCGCGTGCCTCGGTTGCAGTTTGTCCCCGGCCCTGGTCGGTTGTGCGGGTGGCAGCCACTCGATGTGTTCCTTTCACATCGATGTTTCTCTCTCTCTCTGTTCCTCTCTCTCCCTCCCACTCTACCTGAACAAAAAATGGAAAAATGTCCTCGGGTGAGGATAAAAAAAAAAAAAAAAAAAAGAGCTCTGAAGGGAGACCAGCTTGTGCCACCCGTGTGGAGTTGCATGGTTATTTGCATCTTTGACTAGCTCCCAGGGGCTTCTGCACCCACTGCTATAGAACATCCAGGCTGGGCCAGTGTAAGAAGTGGGCTCCTTCACAGGAGGCTGACAGGGCAAAGGAACAGAGAAACAAGGACTGGACTTAGGGTGGGGAAAGATTTTGTTCCCAGGCACTGGATGAAGCTCTTAGCAGCCTTATCCTAGACCCAACTTCTTTCCTCTTGGGAGAGTAGGGGTGGGGCTCCCCTTGAGGTCTCCTTTGCAGGTAGCGCTGCCTTGGAGGAATGGGTGTGAACAACTAGACAGAAAAAGATACAGGGGTGGGGGCAGGGTACTGAGGCCAGGCTGGCAGCCCTCTATAAAAGGGACAACCCTGTGACACAGCCCAAAGGCTTAGCTTGCTGGACCTCACACCTTCAGCTTTCCCTTTGACCCATGAAAGAAACGCAATCTCCAAACAGACAGAAACTCAAACAGGTTTATTTTTTTAAGAAACCCCAATTTTCCTTTGAACTCCGCATTCTTAGTTTTCAGGAAGAGAGGTTAACACCATCTGGCTACTCCTGATTCTGCAGGACTAAGACAATTCCCAGGAGTCCTGCCCAACAGCCAGTGAGAACAAGAATTCTTCAGGTGTGGTCCAGCTCAAGGGTATCTGGCCTACTCTGACAAAGGAGCTTGCTGCTTACAGGGTCTGACAAAGCATAAAGCATTGAACAGGTAGTCTGGGGCTCCCAACCCTTATAAAGAATTTAACTAGCGCCCACCAGGCCTGCACTGTTTCAGGTAATCCAAGTACTCCTCTTCCCTGACACTCTCTGCTGTCCACTAGCCCCTCCACAATCCTCTTAGCCTCTACTTCCACAAACCTGTAAATGTGCAAAAGTTCAACGACCCGGGGGATGGTGCAAGTTGTGGTTTGGCAGTCTTTGAAAGCACACCTTTTACAAACATTGAGAAAAGAGAAATGGGGGAGGGGAGTGGGGTTCCCAGAAGACAATAAGATGATTGCCCCACCCCCTAGCTCAATTCCTGGCACCTGCCTCAGGCAGTGCCCTCACTGAGAAGGCACTAAGGAAGGTAAAGGTTAAAACTGCTATGAACTTCTGCTCCTTCTGGAATGTGAGAAAAGCTTCCTAGAACTTGACAACTAGAGCTAAAAAATGCTAGTGGGACTAGGACTGTTCAATCTGTAAGTCTTTGTTCTAGAGCTGAATAGACTGCACCTTAGTTTGTAAGAAACAGGTGTGAAAAGAAGGGTCCCTTCCCAACCCTGTGCAGGTGTCCAGTCCAGATGCCCTGAGCATCAGGTTTGTGGAGGCTGGAGCCTTTGGCACCTGGTGCCACACCCTCAAATGCACCCTTTGCCCCATGCAGCCAGCACTTCATCTGCCTGGTGTTTAACCATCTCAACAGCAGAACAAAGAACTATGAAATACAGCTTCTAAGGAGTAAACGCCTATGTTCTGAGACCAACCGAGGCCTTCCACTCTCCCAAACCCGACTCTACTGGCTGAGTGTCCAGCTTCTTCCTCACAGAAAGAACCATCCCCAATCCACAGATTCTCTCCTGGATCATCTACAGAATCGAAGAGAAAACCCAAGCCTTTTTACATGGATGGAACCAAGCCACCAACAGAAGGCAAACCAGGAGAGGAAGCCTGAGGCTGCTGTGGCCACTAGTGCCTGTTCTGTTGGGGCTGGCACAGCAGCCACATTCCCCAACAGAAGAGATGCTCTCACCCACAATTCCCAGCCCTGTAACCTCCTCTGGCTGGGCCAGTGATTCTTACTCCCTAGTCTGTGGCACAGATGGAAACTGGCCAGGACACTGTGGGAGATAGGGAGGAGACGATGGTGGGCCACTGACTAAGGCCAGGACATCCAGCCAGGCAAACCCCATTTCCTACAGTTGCCATGGCTGCTGCCACTGCACAGGTCACAAGGCCAAGGAAGGGGAGCCCAAGTGTCTTTTCCACAGGAAGAAGGGGATATATACAAAGGGAAGAGGAGAGTCTGGCTAGGTGCACCCCAGTTTCATCTCATTCAACCAGGAGATCAAACTGCTCAGCAGCTTCAAACTCAGCATTCATGGCCGCGGCCCACTCATCCAGCTCCGATTTCTGGGGGAAGAGAAATGGGGAGTAGGTGAGTGGGGAAGAGGGCATGTTGGCTAGAGCACACCCTGCAGGAAGGCACTTTCTTTCAAAACAGCCTGAGCTGAGCCCCAGCCCAGCACGAGTCCCGGCGTATCTCCCAGTATGTCTGCATGACGGCAGAGGAAGGCCCCTGACCCTTACTCACCAGAATCTCCGGCACCTTCTTCTTCTTTCTTTTCTCTTTCACTGGTGGGGAGATTCCAGGGAGAGTCGTGTCTGGGACCCAGGGATTCACAGGGACCCTGGAAACCTCAGTTAACTTTGAACACAGCAAAGGTGAGACTCCGGCCAGGTCTTCTGTCCCCAGTAGCCCCTCGAAGCCAAAGCAGGATGGGCGGCCTGGTGTTGAGGTGGAGGCACAGTGAAAGGTTTCCAGCCGGCTGTATGATCGTCTGACTTTCTTAGACATTTCCAAGTCTCTGGTGTCCAGGTCTGCTTCCCTGGAATTTGACTCAACATCTGGGTTGTACAGCACAGGAGTGGTGGTGGGGGTGACAGGGACACTATGTGTCTTGAAAAGATCCTCTCTAGTAGGCTCCTTGATAGGAGGGTTGTTTTCTTTCTCCAAAAAAAAAGCAATCTGTACCAGGACAGAAGAGAGAATGTGTCCCTGTTGTTCAGTTATATTACTTACTTCCAGAAGGCCCCGGAGAGATTTAGGGTGGAAAGAAAGATCCACAGAACACTCTTTTTTTTTTTTTTTATCCTCACCCAAGGACATTTTTCCATTTTTTGTTCAGATAGAGTGGGAGGAAGAGAGAGAGAGAGAGAGACGTGAAAGGGACACATCAAGTGGCTGCCACCCGCATGACCAACCAGAGCCGGGGACAAACTGTAACCAAGGTACATGCCCTTAGCGGGAACCAAACCCAGGTCTCTCTGGACCGCAGGCCGATGCTCTAACCGCTGAGCCAAACTGGCCAGGGCAGAACAAACACTCTTAAAAGGAAAAGGAGACAGGTCACGTGATAAATCAGTCCCTGAGACAGATGTGGGGAGGGGGAGAAAAAATCAATCGGTCATTGCTTCTGAGGAGTCTGCTTCTGTGATGCAAGAAAACTTGCGACCACTTATTGGTGCTGCCAGTTGACTCCAAAAGGTGATCAGAATCTAGCCACCTCTAATCGATACAAGCTCTCCATTACCTGTCATCTAGACCAGCCCAATAACCTTCTAACTGCTCTTCCTGCTTCCACCCTTGCCCTCTGTGGTCCATTTGTCACAACTGACGATGATTTTCCTAAAATGTCCATCAAGTCAGCAAGTACTTATTGGTCACCTGCCTGCTCCAATCACTGTTCTAGGTACTCAGAGTACAACAAGAAATAAAACAGAGAAAACCCGTCTCCATGGAGCCTCCATTCTAAGGAAGAAAATTAGATAACAGGGAAAATCATGAAGTATGCTAGAGATAGTAAACATTTTGGAAAAAAACAGAACAAGATAGAGAACAGGGGGTGGGTTGGAATTTTAAGTAAGTGAAAGTCAATGTAGGCCTCAATGAGGTGGCATTTGAGCTACAACCTAAAAGAAGTGGGGGTGGAGGTGAATCATCGGGATGACAAGTGTTCTAGACAGAAGAAATAGGTGGCACAAAAGTCCCTGGGACAAAAATGTGCCAGTTAGGGTCAAAGAACAAGACCAGCGTGGCAAAAGCAAGAGAAAGTAAGGAGAGGGACTGAAGATGGGGTTTAAGAGCCAATGGGCGCCCCGCCGGTGTGGTTCAGTGGTTGAGCATGGACCCATGCACCAAGAGGTCACTGGCTCAATCCCTGGTCAGGGCACATGCCCATGCTGTAGGCCCGATCCCGAGTGGGGCCATGCAGGAGGCAGCCAATCGATATTCTCTCATCAATGTTTCTATCTCTATCTCCCTCACCCTTCCTCTCCCTCTAAAATCAATAAAGAAAAAATATTTTTTTTAAAAAAAGAGGCAATGGGGGGCATTACAGACATTTTATAGACCACTATAAGAGGAGACCCAGGGGGCCCTGGCAAGGTTGTGAACAGGAAAGGGCTTAATCTGACGTGGATTAAGAGGTTCACATATTGGTACCTCATAATTCCACTCAGCTCAAATGCAGCTTTCTCAGGGAGGCTGATCCCTTACTATGTAATCTGGATCAGCCCCTCCTCACCTTTGTGAGTCTCTTTTTTGACAACGACCTCATTCCTATACAGCAACCATTACTATCTGGTTTTGGCTCGTTCACTGGTTGACTGTCACCCCAAACAGAATGTGAGCTTCATGAGAACAGAGGTCTTCATGTCTGGTTGACCTGGCCTATGCCCAACACCTATGGCAGAGCTTGCACGCAGCACGTGTTCAGTAAGTATTCACTGAATTAATGTACACAAAACTTAGCCCTGAGATTTCTGGCAGCCAAGGCGGAAAACAGGGCAAACTTGATGACTCTTGTGGTCAACTAGAAGAGAGCAAATTGGCTATCAAGAAAGACATTTCCTCTCTCCAAGTTCTGGGGACTATGCCCCATGGGTCTTAGTAAAAAGAGATGCTGAACAAAATAGGGAATACCCCACTACTTCTTCCTTATCCTTTATAGCCAATCAGTCATCTAAGTGCTAGAAACTTTTTCTGTTCAATGTTTCTTGAATCTATTGACCAATAAGAATGAGTGGCTACCAGGGGGCAGATGGAAGTCCCTGCCCTCAGGCACTTGTTGGGGAGAGAAAGACAACAAGCATGCACACAAATATTTTCAGCTGTTGATAAGACCTAAGGAAAACTACATTAGGAAATGTGATAGTGCCCTGGCCAGTTGGCTCAGGTGGTTGGAGCATCATCTCATACACCAAAAAGTGGCAGGTTTGATCCCCGGTCCAGGCATGCAGGAGGCAAGCGATCTGTTTTTCTCTCACACTGATATTTCTCTCTCCCTCTTTTTAAAAAGTTATTTATTTAAGAGAGAGGGGAAGAAAGAGAAAGCAACATATTTGTTGCTCCACTTATTTAAGCATTCATTAGTTGCCTCCTGCATGCGCCCTGACCAGGAATTGAATTAGCAACCTTGGTGTATTGGGATGATGCTCTAACCAACTGAGCTACCTGGCCAGGGACCCCCTTTCTTCTCTCTTAAAAAAAAAAAATCAGAAATGTGACACTAATAGGGTAGCGGTGGTCAGGAAAGGCTTCTGGGAGGACCTATCCATTGAGCTCAGTCCTGTGTGTTGACAGTCATGTGGTGAGCCAGGTGGAGGAGCATCACTTTGCCATTATCTTACTTCAGGCCCCCACCCTCTCACCTCAGGATTCCCATAGTTTTCCTAGCTGGTCTTAAGGTCCCCCACAGCTTTGTTACAGCCATTCTCTACCCAGCTCAAAGAGGGAGCTTTCTAAAATATCCAAGCTTAATTAAGTCACTACCTTGCTTAAGACTCTCCAGCCCTGGCAGGTTCGGTTCGGTTCCCGGTCAAGGACAGGTACCTGGGTTGCAGGTTCGATCCCTGGCCCAGTTGGGGTCATGTGGTAGGCAGCCAATCGATGTGTCTCTCTCACATCGATGTTTCTTTCTCTCTCTCTCCCTCCTTCCTACTCTGTCTAAAAATCAATGAAAAAATATCCTCCAGTGAGGATTTTTTTTAAAAAGTTAGCATTTCTCATTCACTGAATCTTCAGGCACAGATTTTAACAAAACACCTTGACTTCTGCTACAACTGCAAAAAGATGTACAGAGACAACCGCAGACAAAAACTGAAGACAAGATGGAGTAAAAAGAATAGCTCAACTTTTAAAGGAAAATGGTAGAGAATAACAAGACATCGGGACCTAAGAAGTCTACAAGTCTGCAAGATTGGCAATGCATGCAGGTTTCGAAGCAAACTTTCAAAACACTGACAAACACTACGCCCCATCCCAGCTCTAAAATATCCTGGATTCCACTCAACAAAGCAAATTAAAATGAACTCACCCTAGGGCTCCTTCGAGGTGAGTGGACATTTGGGATCTGCGGAGACAACATTAATTGATCACACAGCCGGCCCCCAATTTTGCTCTCCACCCACAAACCCTCACTTAGCCCTCACCTTTACAGCATGGGCCACGATCTTCTTCAAGACGATGGGCTTTCTGACTGGAGTCGCATGGGGTGCCTGGAGAGGAGGTGTGACCGTGAGTTCTATATTAGACCAGGGGCCTCAGAGGAAGGAACTGAGGAACCCCGGGCTCACCTTCGGCCAGATGTCAGGGAGGGTGTTGGGAAGATCAGAGCCTGATTTCCGCTGGGACCTCCGCCCAGACTGAGCAGGAGGTGACGCCTTTGGCCCTGGGGGTAGAAAAAGTTAGGAGTTAGGGTAGGGCTCACCTCAGTCTGGAGAACAGATTGAGGAAGAGAGCGACACAACGTTCCCAAATAGGCCCGTTGGGGGCGCCCTCCTCACGGGACTGCGCCCCTCAAACGGCTGGGCCCATCTCTCCTGCGCGCCCCCGCTCACCGGAGCGCTGGGCGGCCCCGCCGGACCGCGTTCGCCTCCCGGACATATCACGCCTCGGTCTCGACCTTCGCTGCGCCACCGCCGCCGCGAGTGGTAGAGCTCACGCCACCCCACCACTTTTCCGCAGCAGAAACGTTCGAACTACCCGCCTTGCCCGTGAGGAAGCGGAAGTGACGTAAGGCGGGAGGGTGAAGATGGGAAGGTCTCTTCTTCACCCGTCTCCACGTCTCGCGTCGCGGGGGCGGGGCCAGTGGCGCATAGCGTCATCAGCTCGCGCCGCACCCGGAAGAGACGTGGCAGCGGAGGGATAATCGGAGCGGCCAAAGTTGGAAAGAGCTGAGGCGGAGGTCGGCGGAGCGCGGTGTCTACCCCTCGGATCAGCGCTCCCGCTCGTCTGGACCAGTGCCGTGGTGCATCAGTAACACCCAGAATAGGGTCTGTGGGGAAAGTGGGGGCGGGGCTTGGAGGGGTGGGACCCAGGAGGGGTCCCTGGGGGCGGAGCCGGTGGTATCCGAGAGACGCTGATAGAGGAGCCTGGCCAGGGACGGGATTCTGGAGGAATAAGGGAGACTTCGGAGGCGGGATTTATGCAAGGGGTGTGGTCCAAAGTGAAGAGGGGAGCTGGGCAGATTTGGGGCTGGCGTCAATATGAGAGTGTTTAGGGGAATAGAAACGAACTGGGCTGTTGAGTGCCACCAGAACCTGGCTCTCTACCAACTCAGGTCCCTTCACCAGGGTCGACAATGGGGCTTTGCAAGTGCCCCAAGAGGAAGGTGACCAACCTATTCTGCTTCGAACACCGGGTCAACGTCTGCGAGCACTGCCTGGTAGCCAATCACGCCAAGGTAGGGCCTTTGGGGAAGCGGCTGAGCAGGGCACTAGGAGGGCAGGTAGTATTGCCTTCCTCCAAATCCATGAAGGGCCTGGCGCTAGAAGGGGAGCTCCGCGAGGGCGAGGATATAGTTTATTTGGTTCGCTGCTATATCCCCAGCTTTGAAGACAGTCTGGTACACAGTATGTGCTCAGTAAATGTTTATTGATTGCAAACGAAAGGAGAATTCTCTTCTGCGACGAGAGATAAAAAGGCAGTTGAGCCTTAGGGAGCTGGGCTGTGAAGTCCCTGCTCCAGTTGTGACCTTTCTCTCCCACTCCAGTGCATCGTACAATCTTACCTGCAGTGGCTCCAAGATAGCGACTACAGCTCCAATTGCCGCCTGTGCAATACACCCCTGGCTGCCCGAGAGACAACCCGCCTCGTTTGTTATGGTGAGTCCTGGGTACCTTGAGGGGATCAGGACAGGCCCAGCTTGGTGACTGGTTTCCGGGCCCTCCCTAAGCAGCAGTACAGTCAGACTGCCTAGCCTGGGAGGCTGAAGCCTCCCAGTTCCTAGTCTTGCTGGGTTACTTATCTGCTGTGTAAGCTTAGGCAAGTAATTTTCCCTTTCTAGTCTTCAGTGTCTTAAAAAGTAAGGCTCCTTGCCCTGGCCTGTGTGGCTTAGTTGGTTGGGCATCATCTTGTGCACCAAAATGTTGCCACTTATGATTCCCGATCAAGACACATGCCCTGGTTGTGGGCTTGATCCCCCGTAGAGGGCATGCAGGAGGCAGCCAATTGGTGTTTTTCTCTGTCACTCTCCCTGTTCCGCTCTCTAAAATCAATAAGCATATTTTTTTAAATGAAAGCTTCTAATTTCCTCCCTCCAATCTCGAGGGTTGAGTGAGAGCCAGTCAAACTTGTGGGTGTGTTTGTGTCTATGAGCAATAGCTGGCCACACCAGCCATGAGCTGAAAGCATGGGACTTTCAAGATCCATTACTGATTCCAAGATTGAACAGAGAGGAAATAAGTCTCCCACAGTAAAGTCTGCTAAAAGAAATCAGCAGACACAAGTCATGACCTTCACCAGATTCTGGTCTAAGAACCTTAGCTCCACATTTTGTTGTTCTTGTTAATCCTCACCTGAGGACATTTTCCATTAAATTTGTTTTTAAATATGTTTTTGTTGATTTTTTAGAGAGAGAGAGAGAAAAATATTGGTGTGAGAGAGAGAGAAACATTGATTGGCTGCCTCCTGCACACCCCCCACTGGGAATCAAGCCTGCAACCCAGGCATGTGCCCTGCCTAGGAATCGAACCAGGACCTCTCAGTCCATGGAACATCGCCACACTAGCCAGGTTCCATTGATTTTTTTAGATAGAGTGGAAGGGAGGGAGAGAGAGAGAGAAACATTGGTGTAACAGAGACACATCAACTGGTTGCCCCCCACACAACCCCTACTGGAGCTGGGGGGGTTGAACCTGCAACCCAGGTATGTGCCCTTGTCCAGGAATCAAACCTGCAATCCTTCAGTCCCCAGGCCAACCCTCCAACCACTGAGCCAGACTAATGAGGCATCCACCTTTTATTTACTTAACTTATTTTTATTTATCTATTTATTTTTTATCCTCACCTGAGGACATTTTTTTGCATTTATTTTTTAGATAGAGTGGGAGGGAGAGAGAGAGAGAGAAACATCAGCGTGAGAGAGACAGATTGCCTGGTTGCCACCCACATGACCCCAATGGGGCCAGGGACAAACTGCAACCGAGATACGTGCCCTTAGCAGGAACCAAACCCGGGACTCTCTGGACTGCAGGCCAACGCTCTAACCGCTGAGCCAAACCGGCCAGGGTTACTTATTTATTTTTAATTAGGATCTCTTGAAAGTGATTTTCTTTCTTTTTTTAATGTTTTTATTGATTTCAGAGAAAGGAAGGGAGAGGGAAATAGAGATAAAAACATCAGAGAGAGAGAAACATCAATTGGCTACCTCCTGCACACCCCCTACTGGGGACTGAGCCCGCAACCTGGGCATGTTCCCTGACTGAGAATTGAACCAGTGACTTATGGTGCATGGGCCAATGCTCAACCAACTGAGCCACACAAGCTGGGCCTTAGCTCCACTTATTAATTTTTTTTTTTAATTCTCACCTGAGGATGTTTTTCCATTTGTCTTCAGATAGAGGGGGAGGGAGAGAGAGAGACATTGACGTGAGAAAGACACATCAACTGGTTGCCTTCCATACGACCCCAACCAGAGCTGGGACCGAATTGCAACCGAGGTACATGTCCTTGACCAGAATCAAACCCGTGATTCTTTGGTCCGCGGCCAACATTCTAACCGCTAAGCCAAACCAGCCAGGGCCTTAGTTCCACTTTTTAAAGGAGTTAGTGCAAAACAGTGAGCTCCATGTATATGTTTTTTAGTGTGAGTGCGTGGATATCTGTGCATGAATTTAGAGTGCATTGTCTTTACATAAGTGTTCGTATTTCTGTAGTACTTGTAGGTGAGTAGGTAGATGTTGTGTATGAACATGATTGCAGGTGTGTTGTGGGGTTTCAGGAGAATGTGTGGGTAAGGGTGCTCAAGTGTTAGCAAATGGGTGTATGGATGTGTATGTGTGAATTGGTGTGTCTGTAAGTACAGATACAGGTACAAGGATGGCACTTGTGTTTGTTTATGTGTATATGAGCACATGTATTTGTATGTCTGTGGGTGTGTACAAGCATACGTGTGCCTGTGTGTGTATCTAGGAAGCTTTTCTGAAACTGTACTTGATTAGCTGTTAGCCCAGGAGCTTGTGGCATCTTCCTCCCACCCACTCTCACCCCCTAGTGCACTAGCACCTGTTTTGACTTAGTGAGATAGTGGTAGCAAATAAGGCTGAAGGCTTAGGGAGCACTGATGAAATGGACCTAGGGTGAGGAAAGGAAGGAGAAAGCCCTGGGTTTACATGTATGTGTGCATATATTCCTGCAGTGGGCTGGGGCTGTTGCTGGGCCAAGAGTCCAAAGTGTCTTCTTCCTCATGCCTCTTCTCTGCTATTTCATGGGCCCTAAGATCTCTTCCACTGGGCCTGCCTCAATGAACGTGCTGCCCAGCTACCCCAAAATACAGCGCCTGCTGGCTACCAGTGCCCCAGCTGCAGTGGCCCCATCTTCCCCCCAAGCAACCTGGTTGGCCCCGTGGCCTCTGTGCTGAGAGAGAAGCTGACCACAGTCAACTGGGCCCGGGCAGGACTGGGCCTTCCTCTGGTGAGAGTCCCTCTGTTTGTCTGTCCATCTGCCTTGGGTCCCACCTGGACCAAATAATTGGGTGGGGACAACACTGGGCAGGCTGGTGACAAAGGCTCCTTTCTCCAGATTGATGAGGTGGTGAGCCCAGAGCCCGAGCCCCTCAACACCTCCGATTTCTCTGACTGGTCCAGCTTTAATGGTGAGTGATGGTCTTCACCTGCTGTTGGGGCCCTTGCCTCCCTCCTCTGCTGACAGCTGTCTTCCTGCCACAGCTAGTGGTTCCCCTGAACAAGAAGAGGTAGCCAGTGCTTCTACTGCCCCAGCCTTCTACAGCCAAGTACCCCGGCCCCCCACACCCCCCAGCCGGCCTGAGCAGCACACAGTGATCCACATGAGCAGTTCTGAGCCCTTGACTCACGGTGAGCCCCAGAGGATTGATGTCCAGGCCAGGGGAGGACAGGAAGGGGATGGGGTGGTTCATGTGGAGGGAGCTCAGAGCTCCAGAGACCCATCTGGAGGGGCCCTTCCTCCAAGCACAGACATTACCTCCCCACAATTCTGAGATATTACAATGTCAGGCTGTGAAGGGCAAGGATCTCCTGCCCTGCCCTCTTCCCCTGCTGTGGGCCAGTTTCCCTGAACCTGGGATGCTGGTGGCTCTGACCTTGCAGCCTCGGCCCCAAGGAAGGTGTATGACACACGGGATGATGACCGGGCACCAGGCCTCCATGGCGATTGTGATGATGACAAGTACCGTCGCCGGCCTGCCCTGGGCTGGCTGGCCCAGCTGCTCAGGTACACAGGGTCACATGGGGCAGGATGCCAGGAAGGGGTGGAAAGGTAATGAGAGCCAGAGGCCCCAGGCATGACGATTACATGACAAAAGGGGCTTGACCTGGGTACCCAGGTGTTGGGGCTATGTAGAGAAACTTCGGTTTGACAATAAAAGTCTTGGGTCTGCCCTCTCGGGCTGTTCCTCAGCTATTATATATGAGGTTGGGACTCGGGCTCTTTGAGGCCCCATCCTGCTTCAACACTATCCAATTTTTGTGACTGTTCCTATGCTTGACATATCCCAGTTCCCAGAACAGCCACTGCCTTAGCTGGTTCAAGCTGCACAGTCACCCTTGTAGGGGCGAGTACAAGGATGGCCATCCCCAAGCATACTTGACGTAATGAGGCTCAGGGATGGTAGCACTGGGGCCAAAAGACGAAATGTTATGACCAGGGCTCCTCTCCAGGCCATGGGGGCCACCAGGGACTAGGGGCCTGATCTTACTTTCCCCTCGTCCCCCCAGGAGCCGGGACGGGTCTCGTAAGCAGCCGCTGACCCTGCTCCAGCGGGCAGGGCTGCTGCTGCTGCTGGGGCTGCTGGGCTTCCTGGCCCTCCTTGCCCTCATGTCTCGCCTGGGCCGGGCTGCAACTGACAATGATCCCAACCTGGACCCACTCATGAACCCTCACATCCGTGTGGGTCCCTCCTGAGCCCTTGTTCGTGGCTGGGCCAGTCTAGGACCTGGGGGCCTGCGGAGGGGAGGTGGGGAGGTCTGAGGGCCCTTTGCTGCTCCTCTCCCTCAAACCTGAGACACTAAGATCCCAGACCCAAAGCCGAGTCCACCAGAGTGGCTGCAGGCTGGGCCTAGGATCCCTGCAGATCCGGTGTTTGCCTTGACCTGCTTCCCCTGGGTCTCTGGCCCTCCCACCCCCAACCCATGAAGGAGCTGATAGGTGGAAATAAATGGCAGACTTTATTAACATACCCAAAGCCTCCTTTTCCTTCCCCCTTCTCAGCCCAATCCCCAAGCCTCAGTAGTATTCCTCCCGGTACTGCATGGCCAGAAACTCCAGGGACAGGCGGTTGAAGAACACAGCTCCGTTGAGCACTAAGTGGAGGAGAGACCCCCCCCCATCAGCCTTCCCTGCCATTCTTTGCCACTTTTCAGGGCTCCAAAGTTCCCCATTCCCCCACTCACTCAGGATGGTCAGGGCAAAGCACCGAAAAGGCTTGTCATCTGTCATCTCAGCGTAGAGTGACCCCATGGCAGCCCAGCAGATGCTGATCACCTGGGAGAACTGTATGCCCCATCCAGTGGGAGAGTGGCCCCCTGGTACAACAGTGGGGTTTTCATCAGCCCCTGGGCCTCCCCGAACCAGCCCTTGAGCCCCTGCCCTGGCCTACCATCAGAACAACTGTGTAGCGGAAACTCATCTTGTCATAGTAGTGGGTGATGCAGAAGTTGTACACGTCACTGGCAAGGATGCTCAGGTGTATAAAGAAGAGCATCAGTGCAGCCACAGTGAGCATCACACCTCGTGGGAAGAAGAGCACGATGACACGGTCCCGCCACCGCATCCTGGCAGCAGCACAGACTCAAGTCAGACTGTAAAGCTTGAGTGAAGCTGACAATGCCCAGGAAAAGTAGCTGACCACTTCGTTTCTAGAATGCACAGTCTGGAATAGCAGCGGGATTCTAGAACCAGGACATTATTCAAGGGGACAAGATTCTAGAATATAGCTAGTTCCAGCCAATACAGGACTGTTCCACAAGTGGCCTGGGGAGTTCTGAATTGTGGAGGGGTGATGGGCTAAAGGTACAGATCAGTGTGGTACTGTTGTGTTGAAGGGACAGCATCCCCATCATTCCACCTGTATACTTTGCACTCTTCCATGTGTCTTCTGAGTCCTCTCAACAGTTCCACTGAAGAGTTAGTGTGGCCACAGTACAGATGAAGAACTGAGGCTCAGGAAAGGGAGGTGGCATGTCCCAGGTCCACGGCAAGTCTTAGGCAGATGAGAGATTAGGACTCGTGTATAGCTGGAGGGCATTCCCAGGTGAGGGGAGGCCCTGGTTCACAAGCTCTAGGTATTTGCTTCGATACCTAATGGAGAGGAAATCAGGGAAAGGAAGGAACAACAGATTTTCCATAGCTGTCCTGGGGCCTTCCCCATGCCCCGCTAAGATGTGGCCCTAAGAGCAACTGGCTTTCCAGTCGTCTCCCCAGATGTTCTTCAAGGACCTGTTCTTGACCCTTCCCTCTGCCATCTTCCAGCACTCAGAGCATTTTCACACCCATCATCTCTCATTCCAAGAGTCCCATGAGGGAGCTGGGGCTGGTGGCATATATTCTATCTTACACACAAATCTGAGGTACAGAGAGGGATTGTCAGCCCAAGTTTGCACAGCCCATGAGTGAGGGAGTCAGTACTGAGACTAACACCCAATTCTACCTGAGGCTGTGGAATGAGCAGGGACAGTTAGAAGCCAAGAAGAAAACATTTTTCCTTATGTGTAAGAGGTAAAAGCTCCAAGATGGTCAACAAAATAAGCCAGAAAAATGGCCAGAAATGGTGTGGAAGGACATGTCGGCTCCCAGCAACTAAAATAGAGGAAGAGGGAGGACTTGATGTTGGACTTGGCCACCCCTTTTGCCTCTTGCTGACTGGCTGCCCTGGAAGTTAGGTCTCAGGTCAGGCCAAGGCCCAAAACCTTCCACCTCAAAGCAGTAGAGTTAGAGCCTGGCCTCACCACCTATGCTTGCTGCCCAGTGTCATTAGCCACAACCTCTCAGACCTCCATCCTAACACATTAAAAGGGTGATGCTTTAATTCCCATCCATGGTTCCACTGTTGAAACAATTGTTTGCACTTTAGTTCTCATTTGAATACAAATAAACATACATTAGGGCTCCTAGCTCAATGCCATTTTTTTTAATTGTTAATTTTTTTTTCTTAAGAGGTTTTATTGAGTTTAGAGAGAGAGAAACATCAATATGAGAGCAAAACATCAGTCTGCCGCCTCCTGCATGCCCCCTACCAGGAATCAAACCTGCAACCTGGGCATGTGCCCTGACCAGGAATCAAACCTATCACCTTTTGGTATATGGGATGAGACTTCAACCGAGTCACACTGGCCAGGACTCAGTGCCATTTTTTTTTCATCCTCACTCGACACTTTTTGCATTCATCTTCAGATAGAGAGGGAGGAAGAGAGAGAAACATCGATGTGAGAGACACATTGACTGGCCGCCACCCACATGACCCCAACCGGGGCCGGGAGCAAACTGCAACCGAGGTACATGCCCTTAGAGGGAACCGAACCCGGGTCTCTGGTCCGTGGGCCAACATTCTAACCACTGAGCAAAACTGGCCAAGGCTCAATGTCATTTTTTAAAGTATCTAAGTAGTGTATACAGAAGAAAATGTAACAGTCTTCTCCATCCCTTAGAGAGGTAGCCCCTTCAACATTTTGGTAAGTGGGCCTCTTTTGAGTCCTTGATGTAACTTCATACACGCACAGGTTTATACACATGCATAACTTCGAAAAACATTTTTAAAATATTTTTTTCTTTATTGATTTTATTGATTTTTTTTTTTAGGCTAAGTGGCTTTATTAGAGAAAGCCAGATTACAAAGGACTTAAGAGTTGGCATTGAAAAATATGGAACGCTTCACGAATTTGCATGTCGTCCTTGCGCAGGGGCCATGCTAATCTTCTCTGTATCGTTCCCATTTTAGTATATGTGCTGCCGAAGCGAGCACTTCTTTATTGATTTTAGAGACAGGAAGGGGGAGAGAGAGAGAGAGAACATAGATTGGCCACCTCCTGCATGCCCCACTGAGGATTTGGCCCATAACCTGGGCATGTGCCCTGACCGGGAATTGAACCAGCAACCTCTTGGTGCATGGGTCGATGCTCAACCACTGGGCCACATCAGCCAGGCTGAAAAACATTTTTAAAGTCCTGGCTGGGTAGCTTATTTGGTTAGAGAGTGTTTTTCCAAGGAATGCCAAGGTTTCAGGTTCGATCTCAGGTCAGGGCACATACAGGAATCAACCAGTGATGCATACATAAGTGGAACAACAAACTGATGTTTTTCTCTCAAAAATCAATAAATGTTTTTAATTTTTAAATTACATCATATACATTGTCAAAGTAAATTTTCAAAAAGTTAAAAACATGGTTTCTACATATCAAATGAACATCCAACTTAAGATGTATTAACCCCCTGGCCAGTGTGGCTCAGTGGTTGAGCATCTACCCATGCACCAGGAGGTCCCCAGTTTGCTTCCCGATCAAGGCACATGCCCAGATTATGGTCCAAATCCCCAGTTGGGGGGCATGCAGGAGGCAGCTAATCAATGTTCTCTCTCATCGATGTTTCTATCACTCTCTTCTTCTCCCTTCCTCTCTCTCTAAAAATCAATAAAGGAAAGAAAAATAAAGATGTACAGTATTAACTCATCAGTGAGGGTTTTTTTCCCTTTGTAAAGTGATAGGTTAAGAGTTGGATATTGAAGCCCTGGCTGGTTTGGCTCAGCGGTTAGAGCATCAGCCTGCGGTCCAGAGAGACCCGGGTTCAGTTCCTGCTAAGGGCATGTGCCTTGGTTGCAGTTTGTCCCCGGCCCTGGTTGGGTTGTGTGCGTGGCAGCCACTCGATGTGTCCCTTTCACGTCGATGTTTCTCTCTCTCTCTCTCTCTCTGTCTCTCTCCCTCCCTCCCTCCCTCCTACTCTATCTGAATGAAAAATGGAAAAATGTCCTCAGATGAGGATTAAAAAAAAAAAAAAGTTGGATATTGAGTCCTGGCCGGTTTGGCTCAGCAGTTAGAGCATCAGCCTGCGGTCCAGAGGGACCCGGGTTCGGTTCCTACTAGGGGCACATGCCTCAGTTGTGGTTTGTCCCCGGCCCTGGTTGGGTCATGCGGGTGGCAACCACTTGATGTGTCCCTTTCACGTCGATGTTTCTCTCTCTCTCTCCCTCCCACTCTATCAGAACAAAAAATGGAAAAATGTCCTCAAGTGAGGATTAAAAAAAAAAAAAAAAAAGAGTTGGATATTGATAGGCACTTAAAGAGGAATGTTAGAATAAGATTGCTAGGTTGGATACAAAATTTTTTGATGTCCTACAGGGCAATACACATTTTAATAATAATTTTTGAGGTTATTTTTTTTCTACTGAATATGAATGTTTTGCATCTCTCCTGTCCACTTGTGTTTCAGAGTCTGAATCCTTAATAGTAAATAGCAAAATCAAACAAATGTACATTTCTGTGGGTAGTTAAATAATCCTTGGGTGGGCTTGTGAAATAATGGCCCATTATGACACTTGGTTTTATTTCCAAATTTTGGATAATTTTCCTTAGTATTCTGCATCCCTTTAAAAAGTTTATAGGCTTTGCCTGAATGGTGTGGCTCAGTGGCTGAGAGTCAACCCATCCACCAAGAGGTCTTTGGTTCAAGGTTTGATTCCCAGTCAGGGCACATGCCCAGTGGGGGATGTGTGGTACACGGCCAATTGATGTTCTCTCTCATCAATGTCTCTATCTCTCCCTTCCCCTCTCTCTAAAACCAATAAAAAAAATAAAATAAAATAAATTAGCCCTGGCCGACTTGGCTCAGCGGTTAGAGCGTCCGCCTGTGGTACAGAGAGACCCGGGTTCGGTTCCCGCTAAGGGCATGTGCCTCGGTTGCAGTTTGTCCCCGGCCCTGGTTGGTCATGCGGGTGGCGGCCACTCGATGTGTCCCTTTCACATCGATGTTTCCCTCTCCCTCTCTCTCTCTCTCTCTCTCTCTCTCTTCCTCTCGCTCCTTCCCACTCTGTCTGTACAAAAAATGGAAAAATGTCCTCGGATGAGGATTAAAAAAAAAATATATTAAAAGATTATAGGTTTCTTGCAGTAGATCTACATCTTTTTTTTTATTTTTTATCCTCACCTGAGGACATTTTTCTATATTTTGTTCAGATAGAGTGGGAGGGGGGGAGAGAGAGAGAGAGAGAGAGAGAAACATCGACGTGAAAGGGACACATCGAGTGGTTGCCACCTGCATGACCCAACCAAGGTCAGGGACAAACTGCAACCAAGGTACGTGCCCTTAGCGGGAACCGAATCCGGGTCTCTCTGGACCGCAGGCTGATGCTCTAACCGCTGAGCCAAACTGGCCAGGGCTAGATCTACATCTTTATACTCTTCTTCATCTTCTTAAGATTATAGCTTCATGGGATGGACTCTTAATATGCACTTATTTAAATTCATGTATTTTTTTAAAACAATTTTTCTTTATTGATTTTAGAGAAAGAAGAAGGGAGAGGGAGAGAGACAGAGACATTGATGAGAGAGAACATCCATTGGCCACCTCCTGCATGCCCCCCACTGGGGATTGGCCCACAAGCTGGGCATGTGCCCTGACTGGGAATCCAACTGGCCACCTCTTGATGCATGGGTCGATGCTCAACCACTGAGCCCCACCAGTTGGGTTTCATATCTATTTTTTAAAAGTCTCTGAACATCCCATGGATTCAGAGATCAGCAGATGTTTTCTGTAAAGGACCAGATAGTTAATGTTTTAGGTTTT